CCATGGCCCTAGACAAACGTCAGAAATTATTGGAGATAGAGAATTTGACTCTAAAGGCACCAAATGGAGCTACTTTGGTTAGAGACTTGGCATTAATAGTTAAAGAAAAGGAGCACTTGCTGGTTCGTGAAACTATATATTTTAAAAATCTTTTACGTCACCTTGTATGAATGTAAACCTGTTGGGGGATTAGAAATTCATGAGCATGAAACTACTTTTACAGGTAATGGGACCTAGTGGATGTGGAAAGACTTCTTTGTTAAGAGTTTTGGCAGGTCTTTGGAATGTTGGAAAAGGAAAAATCACATTTTATATAAAAGAATATCCCAAGCAGCTAGTTTCTCAAGATGAAGTGCCCACCAAAGCACGCACAGAAGAAGATGTATCCATAGAAAATAATAGACCACTTTACAAAAATTATGAAGGGATATTTTTCCTTCCTCAAAGACCATACATGGTTTTGGGTACACTACGTCAGCAACTTCTTTATCCTACATGGGCTGAAGGTGCTGCCACATCAAGTCATGCTGAACCAAATAGTAAGCCTACTGCATAACTATTGTTGTGAATATCATCGATCTCATAGAAAGAAGGTTACAGGCAAATATCATCATGATGCTCTTCGAAAAGAAAGACATTTCTCGATTTTATTCTTTTAGAGATGTCTTTGGAAACTGATAATTGTGTGGAAGCTTGTCGATTATTCTTTTTTTATTTAAATATTTGGAAAGTTTTCTTTTTATAGTTCTTTGGATGGGGTTTTCCTCTGCCCCATAGGCTATTTATGGCAAGTTCTTTTATTGAAAAATAGGTCCTTGGTAAGGATCTATTTTGTGTTTACCATCATTGAATGTTTGACAAGAGAGAGAAATGCAAAAACATAGAATTTTTCTAAAGAAATAATGAGTTGTCAAATCGTTCAATGGTAGTCAACATAGAGATGGTATTTACCGGTGAGGACCTTAGTATTTTTCTTTTTAATATAGTTGCTCGTTTGTTTTTTTTTTTATAAATTCTCAATTTATTGGGATCATTGCGTGTAATGTCTTGCCATGTCTAATGCAGTCATTTATGTGACGAAATTTCTGGAAAGTTGAAATGTAGTCATAAGGTAGCTTTGTGAAGTTCAAAAATAGGACACGTCATTCTTGTGATTCAATTCCAGACCACAAATAGCAGTATCTGCCAAGAAAGCTGGCTGTGTTACTAAAACATAGAGTGGTTAAGTTTACTAGTAATTCAAATAGCATTTATCTTTTATGTCTGCAAGTCATGTAAACATGCATTTCTATCTTGTGGAGTAGAATTTTTGGTTAAGAATAAATCAACTTGTCATGAGGTCTACCAAGTCAGACTGACTGTTTTTGTCTTGCAGTATTTCCTTCCTTTTTGATGGGTGCATCAAATATCAACAGTGTGAGTGAAAATCCTGATAAGCCAACGACAGATGACCTAATCCAGGTTTTGGACAAAGTTGGTCTTGGCTACCTATTGACGCGTTTCAGGAGTCTGGACATAACTTCTGAATGGTCCAGTGTTCTTTCTCTCGGTGAGCAGCAACGTATTGCTTTTGCACGTCTATTGCTTTCGAGACCAAAGCTAGTTCTGCTGGATGAGTCAACAAGTGCTTTAGATGAAGCAAATGAGGTACTTACTGACAAAATTCAGCCAGAGTTTGATCACGATGTTATGTTTTACAGCATGAAATCTTTTCCTTTTATTTTTCATATGTTTTAGTACAATTGCTTATTTGGATCATGTGCCCCTGCTGTTTCAGATAGACCTTGTGCTTGCATCTAACATTTGTTTGATAAAAGGGAGGAAAATTAAGTAGGCCAAATTAATGTCTTGGAAAGTTGCTTGAAGAGATTTATGTAACATATATAACCTCCCTTCCAAGTTTTGATAGAGCCAAATTGCTGAGCTGAAATATATTGAAAGATAAAAGATAGAAGAACTATAATAATCCCAAGTAATTTGAGGTATTTGGACCGATCTCTTGAGATCACTCAGCCTAAACTACTCTTAACAATTCCCTACCTTCAACCCTTGTTACTTACTCTATTTACAATCAATTCCTAATAACAAACTCCTTGGACTAACTACTAATATGTCCTTTGTACTCTAATAATACTCTTAACTATCCTAATGTCATTCCTAACAGACAGCCTTTTCTGTAATCTAGTTTGGGAGTTTCTCCCTTTTTATATATTTCATTTTATTAATGAAATATCTATTTCTTATCAGCCAAAAAAGAAAGAAGAAAAAAATAGTTCTATGCAGTCTCATAAGTACCATAATGCTAAGATGCACAATCATAACTAAACTTTAGTGTTCGGACTTGCTTATATGCAACTTCGCCTTATGTCCATTATTAGCTATTTACTTCCTTTGCTTTTGCATTAATAATAATAGTTATGGACACGAATATGAAGACGACCCTCTCATCCTCTAATATTTAATGTCCTAGTAATTAGCACTATAATCTGAACTCATATGACTCCAAAATTCGCCAATTCAATACATTTAACAAGAAGCTCGTTAAATTTTAACAGCCATTCGAAGATAGCCATGATTTAAACATCTCTGTCTTACCATATTTACTGAGTCTGTTGATTTTGCATGCTTTGTTTTTATGCATTACCCCTAACAATTCCTGGCTTCCTGCTTATTCCTTGTTTTTATTTTCATCTTTCTATTTCTTCAACTTTTTCTGGTGAATTGTTTTTGATTTTCGTTGGCAAGGAATTAATGACTTGTAATCTTGACCTTTTCTCTTTCTGTTGCTTCTGACAGGCTCATTTATACAAGCAAATTGCAGCTGCTGGAATAACATATATTAGCATTGGCCATCGACGAACTTTACGTAATCACCATAACAGTATTTTGCATATATCCAAGTTGTCTAGCAGCAATCAACGCAATTGGGACACTGAACCCATTGTTCGTGATGATTTGTACGAATTGTCGAAGCAGTAATATGATGCCTACAATTTAGTATTTCTAATCCTCAAAATTATCTTTTTATTAATTGTTGTTTGCAGAGGATAATCTACATGGAGGAGGATCTTAAAGATGGTACCTGCCTGAAACGACAGGTAAGACTAGTAGTCGGAAAATCAAATTTGAGCGTTTATTGATAAATAGGTATCTTTTACTTACCACTATTAAAAAATTAGAGAGAATGTATAAAGGAAGAGAAAAAATAAAATGAATAGCTGTCAATTTTTTAATTTTGACAAGAGTAATGTTGGTGAGGTTGAAAATTATTTTAGTGCTTACTCTTTTAACACTATTTTTTGTTGATCACTATTGAAATTTTGATAAATAGGTTAGAAATTTAGAAAATGAGATTTTTTCACTTTTTCAAATGATTAAAAAGTTGTCAAATTTTAATGGTGGTACTATGAAGATGAATGTTGGTCGGTAAATATCCATGTATTTTTGGGTGAGATTTCAACAATTTTTCTCCCTTTCCTAACCTCGTTTTTTAAAATATTTATAAGAAAATCAAAGTTTACACAACTAATCTAAATTTTACTATCAAATATTCATGTAAGTGAACAAAATATGAGAATGTTGTTTTATTTTAAAATAAACTATAATAGAATTTATTTTTAAGAAAACCTAATACGTAGCGAGTAGAAAAAGATATATTTTCAAATTATAGATGAGTCATTTTCTGTTGAATTTAACACTAACTTGAGCTCGACTACCTTGTACTTGAAAAAACACTTTTTTTTTACAGAACTTATAAAAAAACACATACAATGTAGCATCACTCTCATCAGCTTGGCCTAGAGAAAATATTGACCCAGGTTTGGTCAAGTTTGACGGGCCTCAAATATACTTGGGCCAAGTTTAACGGGCCTAAAACACTGGTTGAAGGTTGGATCAAGCCCGCGATCCAATTCATGGACATACAATCAAAGTTTAATGGGTTTGAAACGACCTCTTCGATTAAACTTTTGAATTTAGCATTTAATTGACTTGATAGATAATTATTTTTAGTTACTGTCTGACATAAAACTATTGAAACTTCTTAAATAGATATTTTCAGTTGTGTATTTTAGGTCATTTCGATCAACTTTTCACTTTTTTCTGAAATAAGGTTTAAGGAATTTATTGTTCGCATGTGATAAGTTATTTTTTGTTAATTAAAAATTTATTGCTTTTACCAAAAAAAAAAAGATGTTTTATTTATTATTTTTTTTAACAAAAATATATTTTATTTTAAAAAGATAAGTGTAAGTTGTGTAACAAATATTTTAAAAGAATTGCGTACGCGGGCGGGGAGACCTTTATAAAAAGCGCATATTTGGAGGTTGGCGTGCTGGATTCAACTTTCTTTTCTTTCTTTTCTTTTTTTTTTTTTTTTATAAAGGATTTAACTTTGTTAAAGGTCCCAGTGTCCCATGGTGGTTTTATTTAAAAACTTTCAATTTAATCTCTTATATTTTAAAAATTTTAAATTTAATCTCTACCGTTCAATATTTTTCAATTTAATGAATCATAAATAGTTAATGTTAAAATTGGTGGTTGTTTGTGTGAATTTACACAAATTTAGGGGAAAAAATCATGTAACAAAGTTTTGATTCAATTTCAATTTTAGCACCTTCAATTTCAATTTCCTAATATTTTTGGTAATTTTTCAATTTAGTGTTCTAATTTAATTTTAGCACCTTCAATTTAATTTTAATTTCTAAAATTTTTTTTAGAAATTTAGAGTTTTTTATAGCGCCCATTCCTAACCAGTTYCGAAAAGGTTCGCTCATGCTGGAGGGAGCATTTTTTAATTTGTCAACCCAGCAAGTATAAGTATTATGTTATATAAATTTATCAGCAATACGAGAGACTAAATTGAAGGTGCTAAAATTAAATTAGAACACTAAATTGAAAAATTACCAAAAATATTAGGAAATTAAAACATTCAAGATCCATCCGTAAAATTTTCTGAAATAAAAAAAAAAAATCCTCAACCCCATTTTGAACAGAAATTATCTGCAACTTGAGGGAGATTTTCGTCATCTCGATCAAAGAAAATGCAACTTAGGGTGAAATTTTCAGAGCAAAGTTGCCGTCTATTATTACATCATCAGTCCAATAACGGTTATTGTACCAGAAAACATTAAGCACAACCATACAACAGGAGAGTGCACATACCAGGCCATTATGTACAAGAGCCCAAGCATTCTGGTTTTGGGAAACATCATACACCAACCAAACTCAATAACCTCCCTGAATAAAGGCATTCAGGCGGTCAAGCTCCTCCCGGTGCTCGCTCACCACAGCCCGAACCACGTCTCCAATTGACACCATGCCTTTCATACCCTTGTCGTCGATGACGGGTATGTGCCTGATTCGGTTATCTGCCCACCAAGCACGCATTCTCCAGGTTACATAAAAGAAATGGAGCAGCGTTATACATGTACTGCAGCGGTAATAAAATGTATTGCAATACCAGTCATAAGTTGCATAGCTCGCAAAACCTTGGTGTCGGGTGTCACAGTGATAAGTTTGTTCTGCAATCACAAATTAAAGGAATTTGTCATTGCTATTCGAAGTTCCAATATTTTGTGTGGCTATTGGTGTAGATGGAGGGAGGTTAAACAAATAATTGATGTCCCTGTGCAAATTAAAGCAACATTAAGTAAATCAGTGAAAAGCACATACAAATATCCATATGCATATATACGTAGTCGATGTAGAAAACCTCACGAGGAGCATCTAATTTCCATCATTCAACACGTAACTAGTAGAAAGCAGACTGGCTAACTTATAAAGGTGATAGGATCGTACCTCCTCAGTCATGATATCCCCAACTTTGGTAGACTTGGAGGACCTTCCTTGCACTATAATCTTTCTTAGATAATCTAGAAAGTGCGAAAAGAAAGCTCGGAACTCAGATAATTACATTCCAAAAGACGAAAATGCTTACATTGCACCTAGATATTAGAACTAACATCTCATGGTTATACGACAAGGACATATAAAGGCAGGAATGAAGAGAAATGACAGATACAGTGGAAAACCATGATGTAGAAGTAATCCTAAATACATGGATTTTAGTTCTACGCAGCACAATCATAAGTAAAAAACCATTTTGGGTATGCAAAAACTGCGGAAATAATGCAAATTCACTCAGATTCCATGTCTTCCCCAGGAAACAACAACGTGCAAGTCCAGATCACTTTGAAATCTCCACTGAAAAGAAACAATAAAACTTGGTTGCTTGAAAAGACTAGCAACGCAAATAAGAAACTGATCCGAAGTTCAAAGTCCAATATATAGCACAATCAGCTAACTCGCAAAACTTTAAGATTTCAAGGAGTACATGAATTATATACATTTGTGATTTGTCCCAAAATATAAAGTATAATTGAATCTCTTCGTTTCTTAACTAGGACAAGACCATAAATTTTGTAGTTTAACCAATTTATTCAGAGAAATATCATTCAGAAAGCATATCATATCGCGTACCTCTCTCTGTTATTATACCAGCTATTGAATTTTGGCCCCCGGGTTTAACAACTACCAAGGCTCCAACATTGTGCTGGGTCATCTTTTTTATTTAAAAATGGGGGAGGGGTGTGAGTAGAAATAGTAGAAGTGAGCAATTTAATTATAAAGATGAGAATTTCAAAATAGTGCTAAGAAGCATACCGACTGGACAGCATCATAAACTGTGTCATCTGTGGTGCACCAAAGCCATGATCCATCGGCACCTTTACCTTTCGCTTTCAAGATGTCATCAATAGTAGTGCTTTCAAAGCCATGCTCTTCAATGCTTGCAGAACTAGCTGATGATGCAAAGCGTGAAACGATTGCAGGCCTCATGTGCGGGCTTGCGACACGAATTTGTTGAAGAACTGCATTTTTCACAATGCTTCCATTTGAAAGAAATGATCGCAGAGCACCTTGCATCTTTACCTGTTGAAGCAGAGCCAGACGCTTTTAAATGTACAATAAGTTCTCTAAAGTTGGGAGTGTGTGTCATTTATCAGAACCACCAGTCAAATACAAATATTCCCAGACATATACTCACAAAAAATGTCAATGTTACAGTTCTGTGACAAATAATTTACATCTTGAAATCCACATAGCAAGAAAACAAGAAACAACAGTTTGCAAGAGGCTTGGAAATTGAATCACAATCTACGTACGCACAATTTCTTCATAACATGACATGAGAATGAGATAGCTATTTCTCCTCTTTCCACTGAGCTGTACGCTAGATTCTACTATAAAAACAAATTATCTCGAGGCATCTATAATAAATTACTCCATAGATACGAAGATCTGATGTGGAAGAATGCGAGTAGGAATATGAGGACGAAGAAAATGAATTAATTACACACGCAGAGGAACTCTCGAGTTTGAATCCACCGGCGTCGGTCAAAGCCAGCTCAGTTCCATTAATTAATGCAATCAAGGAAAAAATAGTTTGAATTAAATGTCCGGAAATACAAAACAGGAGTCAAACTCGATCCAGCTCAGTAAAACCACGGGAGCCGAGATCAGTACACCTAACGTACCGAATACATCTTTCAACAAAAACGCGATGAGGTAAAAACAAGAAGGAGTGCGAAATCTCCAAGAAATAAAACGAAAGCAATAAAAACAAACAAACAATCCAACAATATTCTTAAAAAATAAATATCAAATCAAATCAATTGAGCTTCAGAAACGTACTAATATGAAGAGCGAGAGAGAAATCAAGCGAGAGTAGCAGGAAGAGAAATGGAAATACCTGCCGGAGTTGAGGGTTGATCGGAGGAAAACGATGAGATTGAGATCAGAGGAAATGGCGAGAAGAAGATGAATACCTGGTGGAGATCCACAGAAAATCAGTGAGAGAAAAAAGTGGCGGCGAAGTCAGCTTCAGATAATGAGACCTAAAGAAAGGAGAAGCATCAAAACTGTTAGACCCGATTTTCTCTCACTTGTTTTGTTTCTTTTTTCTTTTCGGACCCTCACTCTCTCTCTTTCCCCACCGCTGCTTCCTCATTTTGTCATCCATCTCTGTTCTCAATCTCTACTATCAAATTTCGTCGTTTCATGTGATTTCGACCTTTTTTTCTTTTTTTTATATTTATATTTATATATATATATAAATGTTTTATAATATCCACAATAAATAAATAAATATATATATATTTTTTACAAGGTAATATCCACAATTTTTTTTGGTTTATTTTATTTTTTAGAAATTAACCTTAAAAACATTATGTTGGGGTCAATTATCGTCTGCCACGTGTCAACATGAGCAAGGTATCGCTATTTAAGAATATTTCTTATCATGATAATTTGTGTGAGTCTCCTTAGGTCGGAATATGTTGCCGAGTTGAGCTGTTGGATATGTTTCATTGGCTGACCTCGAAGGTAAGAGCCAATCTACGTAAAGATGCTTGCAAGAGTGTTAAACAACACATCAATCCAACAACACGCCACTTTTTATGAGTGTCGGATACCGCTAAATTGTTGTCGGGAGTCCTATCGGAGATCATCCTTATAAATAGGGATGTATGCCCCTTATACAAGGTACGTGAATTCATTTGTATTCTGAACGTTAGATCGGATTGTGACTAACTTGTTTGTCTGAGTGCTAATCTTGTTTTGCAGGTTCTTCGGAGAGCTCGTCTAGTGCTTACTAACTTGTACAGATTCCGAGCTTGACCATTTTTTGGATCAAACACATTATTCTCATTGTGTTTTCCTTTGTTTGTGTTAGTTTATATAAATATTTTCAAATTTTGAAAATCAAAGAAAGTAAGTTTTTTTTTTAAATTTAGTTTAGGATTTAAATATATTTTCAAAATAGGTGAAAAGGTTATTGATTGAATTATAAAAAATAAGTATAATTTTTTAAAATATAAAAAAAAAATTAATAGTAGGGCTTTAAAAAATATATGCTTGCTTTCTTGCTATTTCTTTATATGTTTTTTCTTTTATTCAAATATATTTAAATTTTTAGTCAAAATAAAATAAAATCACAAACTATTTGTTTTTCTCAAAATATAGCTTAAATTTTAAAATATTGATAACAAAATAAGGAGAAGTAGTGATCTAAATCTTCAAAAACAGATAGAAAACAAAAATATTATCAAACCATTTCTTAATAATTGGTTTCTTTTCTTTTTAAATAACTTTATTTAGTAGCGATTTCTTTGTTTAGTTTTTGCTTTTTTCTTAAACTGAACTAAATTTTAATAGTCATTCATCAATTGAAAGTTGCGCTCGAAAGATTCATGAAAAAAAAGAATGCCTTGAGGCAGAAGATTGTACATGGAAATGGAAGCTCTGTCCCCYTCACACTATATTTTGAATTAGGGGCTTGCCTCTTTCTTTCTCTAGCGCTATCTCCTGTCAAGTGTGCTCCCTGCCACGTTACTCTCACACTAACTGCCTTTACTTTCTATTTTCTTAGTAAAGTGCGGGAGCCATTTTGTTATGGTGGAGAGTGGGGAGTGAAAACACGCTAGTGCTAGCGCACTACGGCGTATGCAGTTGATCCTTTCCTATCAGCGAGTTTCGATCCTTTTGTTCGAACGAGCAAGAATCATAGCGTTACCTTACCTTCACCATGATACGGACTTATGAGGTTTAGTTCCTTATCTAGAAACATACCTAGATGTATACTCATATATAGTGGCTTCCATACCTATCTCCGATAGTCCTCCCTACTTCAATGGAAAGGGGGGAATCGCCGTTTCTACATTATTTTTCGTCTCCGTATTTGATTCTACTACTTTTTCTTTATTTTGTTTTTACTTTATATTTCTCATTTTTTAATAAATTTGTCATAAACGTAAAATGCGCAATAATTGAACTTTTATATTACAAAATTTATTTTATCAGAATACAACTCAATTTATTAACTTCAATTTAATTTTCACTATTCAACCTCATGTCTAGATTATTTTTTTGTCAATTTTTATTACATATTTTAACTGTTATTTAGTACAGTATAGAAGTGTGATGATTTGAAGTTCTGACTTAATTTAAGAGAATTATGTACCTTTATTTCCCACAAAATTATACTCTGTTGCAATCAATATTCGAAAATGACAATAACTTACTTGTAAATAAAAGCGTAAGAAATAAAACGCAATAAAAACTAAAATGCAATATTAATGGTATGCTTTAACCTATAAAAAGTTTAAAATTTATTTACTTTAGCTGATTGTATTTTACTTTGTATTTTAAAATATTGAAATTATTAGTATTGTTTGTTAGTCGATACCTACAACATAAACTCATACTCTAATAGTCATTTTATAGATTTAACTTGTATATATATATATAACACAACAATTTTTTCAAATATTTTTTTAATATTAATGGATCGAATCCCATTAATAATTAGGATTGCTAATTATTATTTAGATGCTTATATAATGTCATGCTACTAATTAATATTTTTATTAATGAAATAAGTAAACGAGCATTAAAAGAAATAATAAACCATCAAAGCGACCATATCTCACAATAATTAACATAGAGGTTTCAAATCTTGTACTTGTAAAAAAAAATAAAAGAAACAATAAATAAGTACTTAAAAACAATAAACAAAAAGAGAGCCTGGATTTATCGATTTTTATTTTTGTTTTTGGAACTTATTGGAAAAATGAAAAGAAAAAAAGGAGCATATGGTAGATAGTAAATTTAAGATTTTCGTTTGGTAGCATTTACGTTTTTTTGTTGTTTTTTTTTCTTATACATTGTTATCATTTTTTGAGTAACTCTTTTTTTATATATATAAAATTTTCTAAAATTATGTAGAAATTTTAAAAGTAATGAAATTAACTTTATTTAAATATAAAGATTAAAATTGTCACTTTTTAGAGGTATATATCAATCCTTCAAAAATACATGAATTAAACTAAACCAAAGCGAAAAAGTATAGCAATTAGAATGAATATTTTAAAGTTACGTCTAACAATAAAGAACCATAATTGAAATATAATTATCAAAATAATATTCAAATCGATATAAAAACAATAGTATTTAAACCAATATCTATAGATTCACTTTATAGTTTATATATATATAGAAAAATCAAAATGTAATGTAAATAACGTGGGTCATTGATCCAAGCTGGGAAGCAAAAAGTTGGGCTTATCCAATTCCAAATGCAAATGTCCCGTACACGTGGCGTGTGAATGACCCTCCTAACGATATTCCACGGCCCCACTCCACTTGATTTGAGTGATTTGTATATGATTATTATATGGTTCGTTTTGTACGATGGATCTGTCTGAATATTCAATAATATTCTTAACTTTTAACTTCTTAAACAACGAGGGTTTATATCATATGTCAAAATAAGTATAGTTCAACGATAATTGACATATATCTCAAATTATGGGGTTTGAGTCCGATCTTCCTCCCACATGTTTTACTTAAAAAAACAATTGGCTATACCATACAACTCTTATCACTAAAAAAACAATCACAAATATTGTGACTTGATTACGAGCAAGATGAATCAAATTTCACCTGGTTGCTCGATGGAAGAAGCCAACAAAGATGTGTGTGATTAGGAGAAGTTATATCTCGCATAAATCGAACTTACGAATTCGACAATTGTGGTAATTGGAGACTTTTGTACATGGTGAATAATCAAATTCTAGTTGAAATTAAATATTTATGATAAATCAATGCAGTTTAGAATGACTCAATGAAGGATAAGAGATAGTAGAGGTCTATCACCTTTTTACACTATCAACAACTGTTTGAAGTGGATGAGACAGAACCTCTAGCAATTAAAGATATTCTAACTATAGCGATGGTTTTTTACACAGCTGGTAATTGAAATAAGTTTAATGCATATCTTTTCCTTCTCCAATCTAATAAAAAATTTATATATCAGGATGGTTGGAAAAAGCATCAATCTCTCGAATAATTTGAGAGAAGTGAAATTTATCTTTTATTGGAGAGATAGCAACTGAGTGGCTCACAAAATAGTAAAGCTAATTACGGATGAAAGTCTAGTCACAATGTGAGAGGAGGTTCCAACGGCTATGAATGAGGTGTTCAACATGGATTTAAGGTTGATTCATTCCGTCGAAGTAGAAGAAGTTATTCTTGTCTTTTTTTGTTTGTTTTAAGTTTTATTGTTTTCTTTATGAACATTTGAAAATTTACTAATTAAAATAAGATTTATACTTTAATATAAAATATTTTTACCTACTTTTTTTTTGTAATATTTTATTTAAGTCACAATTTATCTGAAAAAGCAAATCTGAGTTCCCGAACAGGCCCACTACGCATTACGAGGCCCAAACTCGCACAATAAGAACGCTCGCAGCGCTCTCGGAACGAAATGCTGACGTGTATTTTCCATTTCTTGTCGGCATCTGTACAGAAAGAGATTATTCCAATTTCCAGTTTCCCACACGGTGGAGAAAGAGCCGATCGACTGGTCAAGTCAAGTATCTGATCTCCTCGTCTGCCATCCACTTGCTCCGCAGTACGTCAAAATTCTCTGTGCTCTACAATATATGTATCTTAATTTACGCCCTCTTTTATTCGATCTCCCGCCGGCCGCCGTGCCGTATTTTCACCTCGCCGGCGGTTTTTTGTTCTGCTACTTCCGCCCGCCGTTGCTACTTTTTTTCCCGTGATTTCAATCAACCGTAATTAAGAAATGTACTTTGATTTCCATAGCCGGCAATGCGGGTTGCTTTCTGAGCCTGTCCTGTCATTTTCGGATAAGTACGTGTATGTCTATGTACAGCATCCGCCGGAAAAAGATGATTTCGAAACTACATTGACGGCATTAACTCATTCGTCACGTGAATTTAGGGCTTTATACTGGTTTGCGTTTACTCCGGTGACGGTGAGTTAGCTGTTCGATATTGATTTGGTTATCTTTTGTTCAGTTTGCAGCAATGGTGCACTTGCCTCTGTCTCTTGCGTACATGAGTATCTCGGTCAGTGACACTCCCGGTCCGAACAAGGAACTTCAATGGCTGGCGTCTATCTTTTCTGGCATTGTTTTCTGCAAGATTGTAAGTGTGCTTATTTGAACTAGTAACGTATCGTATTGTTGATGTTTGATTGAAGTGGATCGAGCGAAAAGTTTTTTCTCTTGACTATTTTCTGCAAGCCGTGATTTCCTCCTGTCTCTCTCTCGCTCTCCATTGATGTATATTGGTTAGTAACCTTCACATCTAGTAAGATCTCTCTGCGTCTTGTTAGACTTGAGAACAGTGTTCTTGCCTCTGTTACGTACGTTCTTTGTTGACCTAGTTTCTCCTGGTTCTTTTAGAAGCTGTCAGTTGATTCAATCACCAATCTCCATTGATTTGTTGTCCTGTCTCTACGCGCGTATATATTAATATAGTTTATTGATGGGAGTATTTTTAGGGCATATATAAAATTTAAGACATGCTACTCTCATATGCAAGTCTGTTGGTTTATTTTGAATTTTTAATTAAGGAAGAAACATATTTCCCCTCTGATTCAGTTACAGTGCATCCACCTTCTTTTGATGTGTGTGAACTTGAAGTTCTAGGGATGTTCTCGACCATTCGCTTCTCCTATACTGGTGTCAAATTTTTCGAAATACGTTTTATTACTTATGTTCATAAATTGCATATACAATATTAAAAAGATAAAAATAACATATAATTTTGAATCTTCTCTTTATTTAAAGAATTGTCAAGTGAAACTTCAATTTTCTTAAAAGATCAAGAACCAGAAAAGCAGAAACAATAATGGTTGTCAAACACATTTTTTTTATTTCTTATTTTGTTCAAAGTAAAAAACAGAGGGAAATAAACAAACGAGAAACGGTTACCAAGTGAGAAACTAGAACTAGGAAATGAAATCAAAGCATTACAAGATGGACCCTTAGTAGCAGTATTTGTGTTGTTGCGTGCTGGCACACGAGTGAAAAGAAGAATGGATGTTAAGGAACTTCTCTGTTACTGGATAATTCACGCTTTCTTTTGTGAAGTATAAATTGGTTTCTTTCTTGAAGGTTTACACATTAACAGGCATTATTAGCTTCCAAAGCTTCAAAGCATATGGCCGGTTAAGCGATTTTGGAAAGGTTGAATGGAACAATAGGTAAACTGATGATTTTGTTTCTTAATGTTGTTTAATAATTAGCTTATTTTTCAGTAATACACTTGCTACGTGAATGTAAAAATATGAATTATTATTCTTTTGTAGGGGGTTTTCAACATTCCACGCCCTTGTTGCAGCATCTTCTTCTCTTTACCTTTTACTATTATCAAGTACTTTTCATCCAGGTTCCAGTGATGAGCTTCTTATAAGAAGAACGTCCTCTTTATCTGATATGACATTGGGGGTAAGCTGAAAATATCGTCAAGGGTTCTTCTTGTGTGATATTTGGTTCTAATTTTTTCTCAACTTTTTTTTTCTTTTTCTTTCCTGTTAGCATTACAATTTTTCTTGTAACCTATTTAGAAGTTGGTTGTTCCAGTTTGCTCCTGGCCACTAAAAAGATGATGAGAATATCATAAGCTAAACTAAACTACCACTTTCATCATCAAGTCATTATTTGATATAAAGGTTCATGGTTTGACACTATGAGTATTGTTCAGAATAGCTACTTGTATTAATTCTTATTGTCGTTCTGTTCTTTCATTGATGAGTAAGTGTAAGATTTTTTGCTCAGACGTGTACATAAGGGAGTTGCAATTGGTCAACCTTGATTAGGTTCAAATACAAGTGCTGATGCATTTAATTATTTTTCATATGGTAGAACTAAAATATCAGCACCGTTGCATTTTAATTATATTCCATATTGATATAGTATAATTTGAAATTTAACATTCAGTAAATATATATATTTTTTTCTTGTAGACACGAAATTTCTAATGCTCTTGCAGTCAACCAAGTGATATGGTAGTAATAAACATAAATGTCATTTTGGTCTCTATCTAGTAATCTACCGATTTTTCTTAATTTCTGGTTCTGTGTTCAATCTTAATTTTTTTTTTCCTTTAATGTGTTCTTATATCTTTTTCCATTATCATCATTTCTCTTCCACTAGGTGCGTAGTGACTGCAAGTTAGTTATGTGAAATGTAATTTTTTTTTACGTATTTAATGTTTTACACTATTCTCCATACAAAAAGAGCAGTTAGTTTTTTCGTTGCCTGTGATTTTTATCGTTTTGAGTTATTAATTTCATTTTTCATTTTCCTGCTGGTCTTTTTACAGTTCTCCATTGGCTATTTTCTATCAGATTTAGCAATGGTTCTTTGGTATTTCCCGGCTTTAGGTGGTCTGGAGTATGTAAGTATGAAGAAAAGGTTCTTTTCTTTTCGTTTATTTTGTTTTTTTTTCGATTACTGGAATATATTAGATTCCATTTGATATCATGTTTAGTTCTGCTTTATGTTTCACTTTTTAATATAGTTTTCTAGAATGGTAAAACAAAATGTTGCTAAATAACTGCTTTTGTTTTTCTTCTTCTTTACTTAATAGAAAGGTAACTAATTTCAGTTGAGAACTGTAATAACAAGAATTTCGTAAGAGAAACCCAAACTTGTTTTCTCAATTTCAGTTTTAGTTTTCATTTTAATAATTAAAAAACGACGTTGATGAAATGCAAGGACATAAACTAGAGACTATTTTTGTGCTTATATTGTAGACATATAAGTAGACTTGTGTGATTCAAAACTGAGTGAAAGCTGTTAACTGATTTTCTTGATTTTAATTGCTTCAATTAGGTCCTACATCATGCGCTATCACTGTTCTCAATCGTTCAGTCCCTCCTAAGTGGTCAAGGACAGATTTACATACTAATGGTTCTTTTTACAGAGAGCACGACTCCATTTGTAAATCTTAGATGGTACAGTTATCGTTAAAAAACTTTACGCTTTCAAATGTTTAATTGTGAACTTTATACTGTGTTTCTAATTAGAAAATAAAGAATTCGTTACTCTGTTTTTCTCATTCAGAAAAAAAAGGTATTTAGTTTTGAACATTGGCTCGTTGCTTTTATTTACTCCATCAGGTACCTGGACAATGCTGGCAACAAGAACTCAAACTTCTACGTCGTCAACGGCATTGCATTGTTTTTCGGGTGGTTGGTAATGTCCATAACTTGAAATCTTGTTTTTTTATAGTGTTTGACAGTAATCCCTAATCAACAGAAATAGTATTTATGTGCATTCATTTAATTGAACTAAGTCCAAGTGTCCAATGGCAACAAAGTTCTTTGATTTTGTACCCCTTGATTTCTTGGTGGAGGATTATTTTCCTCATGGAAAAGCTATAAATTTTGAAAAGGTAGGGGGCAATTTTATTTTTCTAATGTTTCTGATGCGATGTTATCATTTCCATGGAATTTAGACGTAATTAATACGAGTTCCATCTATTTCATTTCCATTTTTTTATTCAAGACTGACATGGGTTTTGTTTCTTCAGGTTGCCAGGATTCTCTTGTTTATATATTTTTTTAGTCACATGTATAGAAATTTTGATGAGGTAAGTGATTATCATCTCTCGTTGCTAACTGAGCCTTTGAATATTTTGCTTATGGAAAATTATTTTCTCTGTCAACTGTGAAGAGAATAGAATTAAACCACAAAAGGATGAATAAATTCCTATATGGTAACATTATCCAATTACAGCTTCCTAAAAGTAGGATGCTAGAAATTATAGATTTACAAGCTTGATTTATTCAAGAGAAGCTAGAGATGTATGTATAAACTGACACCCAAGGATTTCATTCTTTCGACGAAATACTAGTTAGGCTGTTCGTTATCGAAAAGAAAAATGTAATATCTGTAGCAGTTTGATGCCGACTGTTTGAACACTTCTGTCTATAATCCAATAGGACCCGGATCTCGAAAATAGAAGAAAACAACACTAAATTCTATTATGATATGGAAGGGAAACTTACAATTCTCGAACATTTAAGAGGCTGAAACTCTTTCATAATAAGCCAACAAAAGAGGTTAGTATGTATCATCGACTAAAAGGTCGGAGGTTTGAATCCCTACTTGAACCCAACAAGAAAAGATAAAAAGAAAAACTCTTCCATAATAAATACCTTTTAAATCTTGCCTACCCCCAAACTTTCCTAGTACTCCTATTTATAACCACCTTTTGCCAGCCAACTCCTACCAATGATAAATATGCTTTCTAGTATCCTATTCCTAATACTGTCTCTAATATTTCCTACTAATAGTCCTAACACCCTACGACTAAAAGCATCTTTTCAAGAAAAAGGAAAACAAACTACCTTCAAATGGTTCCTCTTAATCACAGTGAATGAATAAATACTCCAAATTTCATGTTTCAAGGTAGTTTGTTTTCTCGGTGGCTCGAGTAGGATTCCTGAAGAAATATTTGCCATGTTTCTCTGAAGTGGGTAGGTAGGAGATATTGGTAAAACTTTTTAGGCTAAATTACAAAAAATACCCGTGAGTTTTTCCATTTGTTTAAATAATACCTCCATCCTTTCAAAAATTTCAACACTTCCCTAACCTTTCATCAACATTTAAAAAAATATCCTTTGACCAAACATCCATTAATATTTTGAACAAAAAGTTAACATGACAAGAATCTGAAACGATGTGACAATTAACTTGGAAGCTTGCCTAGAACTATAAGATGGACGAAGTCATTCAACCACGTTATTTTTGACGAAGAGAAGAGGGAGGAAAAGATTTGCCATTCAGTCACGTTAAATGCCCTAACCCCTAAATTTCAAAACGACGTCATCCACCTAATTGTTCTAGGCAAACTTCTATGTTAATTGTTACGTTGTTCTAGATTCTGTCACGTCAACTTTTTTTTGTCCAAAATATTAACAAATGTTTGCTCAAATGTAACTTTGAAAGGTTTATAAAAGGTAAAGGTAGTAGAACTTCGAAAGGATAAGAGTATTTTTTAGAGGAAGGCAAAATTTAGGAGTATTTACTTTTTTTCCTTTGTTGTTGTTTTTTTTTTTTGTTTGGGGTAATTTGGCCCACTTATTACAATTCGTTAATGGCCGACTATTTTGTTGAAGTGGGTAGATTGGAAATATTGGTAAAGCCTTTAAGCACTCCCAAAGAAATTGAATACTGCCAGAATTAGGCGGTGGCTGCTGAATTTTCTGTTTCATGTGTTTTAGGTGAAGACTGTGTTTCCTTTGGGCTTCTATAGCTTGCTGGCGGTGCCTCCTGTTCTTTCTATGATGAATCTGTTCTGGTTTTGGAAGATCGCCAGAGGAATGATTAAAACTATCAGAAAGGCAAGGCACGGCAAATGACAGGTCCATTTTACCTGCTTTTTAGTTGCCAACTTGTAAAAAATTGTAGTTTATTTGGAAGTAAGAAGTGTGTGCTTGTGCACTTGAAAACTGAAATCACCAGCCAAAAAAAAACCCCTCAAATTGTTTTGTTATACACAATAAATTCATAATTCATAGAGCTTGGGAAGACTTTATTTTGATCATTAGATTTGAAATTGGAATTACGATTTATATTTTTTTGGTACGATAAATGAGAGTAGAGATTATAACTCACGACCTTTAGTCGGAGATAGGTACCTCAGATCAGTTGAACTATGTTCAGGTGGGTAGATTAATATTTATGTTAAATATAATATGAATATGTTTTTTGAAGTGTTGTTGGAATGAGAGAAGTTTTTAGTATGAAAATTAGAATGAAATAGTTGTGTAAATTTGCAAATTAAAATAAAATTTATGTATGAAATTATTATCTTGGAAGTTGACAGTAAGAGTTAATAAGAGACATCCATTCATTCCTTTGGCAAGCGAGTTCGAAATTTCAATTTCACATGTGTTATACTTAAAAAAACAATAAATAATCATCTATTTTATATTTATCTAATCTTTTATCTACATAAGAATTAATAATTTAAAAATAAATAAATAACAAAACAAATTATTGTATTTAAATTTTATGATGACTACCTACCTTATGAATTTGTAATTCCTTTATTTTCTCGGTATCAAATGTTGTAAGGTCAGACAGTTGTTCTGCGAGTATTAAGTTTATCCGAACACTCATGGATGTAAAAAAAAAAAAAACAAAGCAAATTACTGTACATTATGTTCAAAACTTGGATTTTTTTTTCCTTCTAATATTTGCTTTTAGTATTCACTTACCCCATTATGTGGCCACTTGAGAAGATTTTCTTTTTACCATCCTTATCATGGATTTCTTTTTCTTCTTTCTTGACAATGACATTTTAGGGGTAGGGATGGTAGGGTTGCAAAACATCTAATGTTAGGGAAAAGTAGTATTTTTTCAAGCTGAATTAGTTTTCTTTTTGAGGATT